TATGAGAAAACAGCTTGTTATATAATGAAAGTATGGCATACCTATTTTTAATTTAATTTTTATCAATTTTTGCTAATTTCATATAGTATATTTTATTATATTTAGATTTGAACCTCTCCTTACTAACTCTGCCAACCAAATTTCTGTATTTATTCCAGTTTATTAACAAATGTGAAACTAATGAAATATATTCAAATCTATTTTTTAAAAATTATTGAGCTTTTGTACATTTCATACAACAGTTCTTAATCAAATTCAGGTTCCCTGACCCACCCATTCCTCCCCCACCAAACCTCGTGTATTCTGTCATACGTGTTAAGTCCTATTCCTTGTTCCACTCTGGGCCCTTGTCTGAATGAGTTAGCATGAGTCCTGTACTTGATGGCACCATTGTCACAAGTTCACATGTGCAAGCTTCCAGTTTCTAGAATCTGAATGAAACATCTGGTTTTATTTTTCTCATATTTTTCACAGATAGTGCTTAAACTGAAGTTAATCTCTGTGCTTTTAACTTACTTTCAGGAGTATCTCTCTCACAATTGAGCTATGTGCTCTTATGTAAAGTTAATGTGAATTTGATACTCTGGTTTGGTTTCATACTTTTTCCATTCAGAACCCATACATTTCTTTTATTTTAAGATTTATTTTATTTATTTTTATGTTTTTCCATTATTTGGCTTATTTTTATTGATTTTTTGTGTATTTTATATGAATATCTCAAACAATCATAATCATATTTATACCCCTGTCCCCACCAACACCTTCCCATACTCTCCCACTGGAACCCATATGCTGTGTCATCCCTATTAAGGACCAATGTGTCAAGTCAGTGTCCTCAGACATTTCCTAGTGCAAGCCCATCCACTAAAGACTAGTAAGCCTATGTAGAGTCCCTTGTTTTAGGAAGATCAGATCTTCCTCACCTATCCATAATCAATTGCCAATATTTCTTTATCTAAAATTGGGGTGTGCTATTTATTTCCCCAGTTCTGTGCTGGGATTTTGTCTGCCTGAGTTTGCATGGGACTTGTGTATGCTGACACAATTGGCATAGAATCATATGAGCAAGGTCCCAGGCACTTGTAGGATTCTATTTCCATGTGGTCATGCACCTCCTCCCTGGCTCTTACAATCTTTCCACCCCCTCTTCTGCAGTGGTCCTGATCTCTGGGTGGGTGAATTTCAATATAGAAGTCCTATCTAAAGACCAGCATTCTGCAGAGTCTTAATCACTATGTTTTGGCCTTTTGTGACCTTTTGTGTTTCTGGCCTTCTGTTGCATTCAAGAGCTTCACTAATGAGAACTGAGAGATTCATTAGTGTCCTCTTCTCCACCCTTTTCTGTGGTCCACGTGACTTAGGTGTAGAAGTTGCATTGTAGATGTGTCGCTTAGGCTGGGCTATTCATAGACAATGTCTGTGTGTGATCAATTGTGGTACTTGGTAATAGTCTGCATTGGTGCAAAAGAAACTTCTTTGATGAGTGGCGACTGGGATATTTGTTTGTAAATATAAAAATGCATATTTTGCACACAGTAAGAAATTACATTAGTCTAGGGATGTGACAGTCTTGGGGTTTTCTCTAAGACCTATGACCACTCCAGCCATGTGTATTCCATTTTGTTTACAGTTCCACACTTCAGTTTTCTCCCACTGATTGCTATTTTATTCCAATTAGGTACCTGCTGATTGCCCCCAAGATAAAAGTGCCATTAGTGCATCAATGTCATATTTGTGCAGGCCATAGATGTGGTATTTGGTCTTGAAGCTGGTGTTGGTCCATCTGTTGATGTTTTCCCTTGGAACCTTCATAGTGCTCTCCAAAGCCATGACAGCTAGCCTTCAGAAGTGGTTTCAGGTCAGTTCCAGCTATATTGCTCCAAATCCTGTATCTGAATTATGTACCATTTTCAGTAGTTGGGTCTTACCTTCAAATACTGGGAGGCAATCAAGGGCTATAGAAATAGCCTGTGTAATTTGGGGAGTATCTTGGATCACCCTGGCTAACAACACAAAGGAAGGTTTCCCCTGACTGGCACTATTTCTTGTTATGTATCTTTTAGCTATACAGATGGACTCATGTAAAGATATTGTATATGTAATTTGTCATGAGGTTGTTGGACTAATATGATTCCTTCTGTTTTTATTTAACTAACTAGGCATTATTTATCTCCCTTTCTTTCTCCATATCTAACCCTCGCCATGGTTTCCCCATTTAAAGTGTCCTCATTTTCCCCATTTCTCACTTGATAATGCCAGTACCCTATGGTTCCACCTCTCTTGAGTTCCTTCTTTCCCTTTATCCCCAAGGTTTCTTGTACAACCCTCCCGACCCACTCCCATCTAAATACCCCATTTTTATCTATTTCTCCCAGAGTAATAACTGTCTTCTACTGTGATCCTTTCTCAGACTCTTTCTTGTCCTTTACCTCCCTGGTTCATTTGCATTATTCTAGTTCCTGCAGTCACATCTGAGTATGTTCTCACATATAAGGATTTGGTGCTAGGATCCACATATGAAGGATAATATACATTGTTTCTTTTTCTGTGTCTATGTTACTTCACTTAGTATAACAGTTTCTAGTTCCATCCATTTGCCTGCAAATTTCATGCCTTGGTCTTTCTTTACCACTGAGTAGAACTCCATTGTGTAAATGTATCACATTTTCTTTATCTACTCATCAGTTGAGGAACACTTAGATTGCTTCCATCTCTTAGCTATTGTGAAAAGAGCAGCAACAAACATGGACGTACAAGTGTCTCTGCAATAGGATGCGTCCTTTGGGTATACGCCAATGAGTAATATAACCAGGTCAATGGTAAATTCAGTTTTAGTTTTTAAAGAGTTGTTCACACTCCTTTCCATAGGGGTTGCCTGAGGTTGCAAACCCACCAGCTGTAGATGAGTGTTCCCCTTTCCTGATGTCCTCTCCAACATTTAGTATCATTTGTTCTCTTGATCTTAGCCAGTCTGAATAGGGTAAGATGAATTCGTAAAGTGGTTTTAATTTGCATTTCCCTAATTGCTAATGATGTTGAACACCTTTTAAGATGTTTCTTAGTCATCTTTATTTCTACTTTTGAGAATTCTCTGTTCAGATCCTTAGCTAATCTTTTAATTGGGTTACTTGCTTTCTTGTTTTTTATTTTTATTTTTTGAGTTCTTTATGTAGTCAGTATGTTAAAACTCTGTCAGATGTGTAGCTGATAAAGATTTTCTCCCACTATGTGGGTTTTCTCTTCACTTCCTTGGTTGTTTCTTTTGCTGTACAGAAGTTTTTTAGTTTAATGAGGTTCCACTTGTTGATTCTTGTCCTTAATTCCTGAGCAATTGATATCCAGTTTGGAAAGTCTTCTCCTATACTTATATCTTGTAGGTTATTGCCAATGTTTTCTTCTAACAGTTTCAGAATTTCAGGTTTCACAGCAAGGTCTTTATCCATTTGGAGCTAACTTTTATGCAATATGAAAGATAGGGGTCTAGTTTCATACTTCTATAGGTAGAGATCTAGTTTTGCCAGCATCTTTTACTAAAGATGCTGTCTCTCCTCCAAGGGCCCATTGGGTATTTGCACCTTTTTCAAATATCAGATAGATGAAATTGCATCTACTCATGTTGGGTCATCATTTACAGAACCCATACATTTCTAATTTCTGTCCCATTATTTCATGACTGCAACAGCATGATTATACATGTTTCTCTATTTCTTTGGAATTACAGAAATTCTGTATATAAAATTCTCCTCTAGATCATATACTTCAATTACAACCAAACAATTGTCTCTTAAGAACTTTTGTACTTGAAAATTTCCTTGAGCTTCTAAATTTCTTGTCTATACCTTACAATTGCTGAGACTAGACGTGTCCACCATCTTGGCTGTTTTCTTCAGTGTTATGCATTGAGGTAAAGGCTTAGTGTAGATTCTGCCAGCACTCTATCAAATGAGCTACATCAGCAGCCCCATCCAATAGCACAATAATTAAAATTGCCTTATATACAGTGAGTGTTCTTCATTAATTCTGGGGAATGACTGAGTAACTAAATGAAGATTGGAACATGAGAATTAACTCTGATCCACAGCACTTGGTTTGCTTCTGATACTGTTTCAAATTATCATCAATTACTCAATTTCCTAGATCATCTGTGCTATGACCTTTTGAATTTCTGGCAATAATAGTGGAGATTAAGTAAATATGATGATGGAAGCCAATATATGAGGCATGATTAGATAAAAAATGAAGAATTAGGAAATTGAACATTGGTAAGGGAAATGACTATGACATAACAGTTGTTTAAATAACCTGGTCTGTGTGTAAGCATTTATATTATGACATTGATATCATTCAGTAATTAAACACAGTTGCTAATCTAAAATGAATAATAGAAAAGTAATTCATTATAATAATTGAAAAGCTCTTTCTATCATACTTATTTATATCATAATGAGTCAATTATTATTTGCAATAAAAATTTACTCAATCTCAATGCCAAGAAAATAGAAATGACAAATGAAATTATTGTCCCAGTGAAGCAGGGTGATGGATTTTTTCCTTGTAAATGTTCTATAGTTTATAAATTATTCAAATTTTTACAGCTATAATAATATTAATGATTGACAATTATAGTTTATAATGCCAATAAAAGGCTATATATAAAATGTGAATGTTATAATAAAAATCATCAACTCTCAGGTAATTCTTATACTTTTATAACTGTGAGATTTATGGCTCTATATCTTGAGAAATAGCATACCTGTATGCTTTAGTTTCTCTTCTATAAAATGGCTATAATAATTTTAGCTCCCTGATATGACTTCTATGAGGATTAAGATCTGTAACACAAAGAATTTTCACCATGTGCCTATCTTTGATAAATATCCCATAAATAATGAATTTCATATAAATAACAATTGTTATAAAACAATGCATTAATTTAAGAGCAAATATAAAGAAACCTGGGAATATTCAGCTACAAGATAACAATATTTAGCTGAGTATTTTCTCCCCCACTCTCATTAGATCACAATAACAAACTGAAAAAATGTATAATATAAAAGTGGAGCAGATGACCAAGTACAGTTTGAAAATGATTCTTTCAGAATTGATTTAAGTATCAAAATTAGACCCATATTTTACTAAAATATCATTATTGCTGAACATTCAACAAAGAAAGGGGAAAATGGAAAAGAGTACTGTCTAATTTTGTGAAACAATGGGATAAGAGTCAGAGGAAATCCCTGGACCAAGGCTTGAAGGAGAAGGTCCCATGGCCAGAAGCTGAGATATGAGGAATGTTGAGACTTTCTTTTGGAATCTACCTCAAGGCTATTACACAGTCATGGTAAGAAATACCAAGTTCCCAAGGTTCTTACATTTATTGATCAGTAAGCAAAGTATTCAGCCTACATATAAAACCAGAGATAGACTTAAGTAATTTTTTTTCACCGAAGAAGCACCAATATTTCTCCTATGAGTTACCTGGACTGAAGCTGAATCACACAATCAGGATCTGTTTATCAGTTGTATCTCTTTCCCTCGATTTTAGTAACAAATGTATAATAGAATATGAACATTATTACACTATTTCTATATCTCAACATTCTTTCTATGTGCTTAAAACTTGAGGAATAGAAGTGAATATTTTAAAAATGAGTATACAGGCTGGAGAGATAGCTCAGTGGTTAAGAGCAATGGCTACTCTTGCAGAGGACCCGGTTTGGATCCCAGCACCCACAGAAAACCTACCATCCATAAGTCCAGTTCTAGGGGATTTGATGCCCTCTCTGGCCTTCACAGTTATTGTATGACTTGGGTGCACATACATACATGCAGGCAATACACCCATACACATAAAAATAACAAGGAAAATATTTTTTAACTTTTTATTGAGCTTTTAAAATTTCATACAATATTTCCCACTCACATCCAGAACCCCCCCCCAATTCATGTCTTCCCCTTCCCCACCAAATCCTATGCACACTGAGTCCTATTAATTCAGGTGTTTGAACCCAAATGTCCTTCAGTGTAAATGTGTCCAGTGGAGTCTAGTCAGCCCATCCAGTGGTTGACTGTGAGTCATAGTTTCCCTCACCCAGCAGCAAACAGTCTCAAATAGCTCTCAATCCAGTGCTGATCTGCCACCTATTGTTCACTTTCCCTTTGGGCCCTTCTTTAATTGAGCTGACATAGGTCCTACAATGGATGCCACCACTGCCACAAGCACACATGAGCAAGCCTCCAGTGGCCTGGAAGCCTCCCCCTCATCCATTCATGAACCAGCCCTGCCTCTTTCAAACTTTCCTCCTCCTCTTCTGGGATGGTCCCTGAGCTGTGGGTGGGTGAGATTCCATATAGGAGTTCCATACTACACTCTACCTTCTCTTATTCTCCAAACCTTGGCCAGTTGAGGCCTTCTGTGTGTAATAACTCTGATGTACATGGAAGCCTTACTGGTGAGAATTGAGGGGTGCATTAGCCCTTCCTCTACCCCTTATTCTGCTATGTTCCATAGCCTTGGTTGGAGGAATTTGACTGCAGATGTGTCACCAAGTACTGGGCATCTTCCAGGTGTATGTTCTCTATGGATGACCATATCTGCAACTCTGCAGCAGCTTCCATCTGTTGCAAAAAGACGTTTCTTTGATGAGTCCTGTACAGCATGTTTGTAGCTCTAAGGGAGGTTTCTTCTGTTTCTCACTACATTCCCTTCCAAGCAGCTCTTAGGTATACATATACATTAATGTTCAGATAACTCTATGTACATTTCTCATATGGTTTGTAGGGCATCACTTTTCCCTGTAAGTTTACTACCCCCTTCCTCGAGAGTCTCTCTTCTCTTTTTTCTCCCATCCTACCTCATTTTTAAAATGAGTATAATGAAAGATTCAAAGTCAGACGATGGCACAGATGCAAAGAGAGAGATGGCATTTATCACCATCATCACATTTGCGCATCTTACTTCCACAAGGCTCCATGATGAGACTCACTGAATCCACAGTGTTAGCCTAGTAATGACAAATTGAGACATTTGTGTGAAGGCAATGACCAGGCATGTGTGTGGGAAGGAGGAAGTGTGTAGAATTTTTTGCATCAAATTATTAAGGTCAAGTGAATGAAGATGTCAAAATTCCTATTTTTTACTGGTTGATATTTTCATTCACTCATCCAATAAGCTTTGGTCATATTCACCCCAATTCCATCCCTTCCAATCTCTCCCCCATTCTTACTATTACCTTTCCTTCCCAACTTCGTGTGATCTATTTTTTCAAAAATCTCAGTGAGTACTTTAGTGCTGCATATATGTCCATGGGTGTGAGGGCATCTACTGAATCATGGGGAGGCTCTCAGAGACACATCCATTAAGAACAGTTACTCTTCCTTTCCCAGTAGTTGTCAGTTGCCAATATCTTCTCAGCTAGGGCATTATTTCATGATCATGTTCCTTGTCTGTTCTAGGATTTGGGCTGTCTTGACTTTGTACAGATTATGTACATATAGCAGCTACTCTACATTCATGTGTGCAATAGCACTGTCATGACCTGGAAATACTGTTTCATTGATGGCATCCACAAATTTTCACTTTTATAATACTTTTGCCTCCCCTCTGCAATGATACTTGAGCCTTGCGAGCAGGAGTTTTGTAATAAAATCACATTTATAGCTGAGCATTTCATAGTCTCTTATTAGCTCTGAGCATTGGTCAGATGTGGATCTCTGTATTATCACCATTTATGCAAAAAAAATTCCTTCTCTGATAAGTGTTGAGAGATGGACTAAAGTATCAATACTATGATACTTTAGCAGAATAATAGTATTAGTTTCTCCCCTATGTCCTATGACCTGTACAGGGTTTTGGCCCAGGTAATGATATGGGTATGAGTTCCATCTTGTGGAAAGAGATTTAAATTCAATCAGAAAATGGTTATTACTCCCACAATAGTCATGCTGTTAGTCTACAAGTTGACATACCTAGCCAGGCCAGTCATTATTGAAGCTAGCAGGGTTCACAGCTGAGAGATTGTTGAATAATTTTCCCCTCTGGGAACTGAAGCTTAAACATTTGTCTAAATCTTTCTTGACTGCAAGTTAAACGAAATGAAAAACATTTTAAAAAAGACAAACAATAAATAGAAATCTTGGAATGTAAATCCATGACATCACAAAAATAAACGTTAATATATTGGTGTGATTGGTGTAGGCATGTATTTCAGATCTTGAGAGGTAGAGACAGGAGAATTTCAAGCCTGGGCTAAATAGCAAGAGTCTCTCAAAACAGCATTAATGATAATAATATTTATGAAAAATTAAAATTAGAAATGATAGTTTCCTGGATCAGGCTGGTTGTTTATTGGACTTTACAGCTGAGTAGGGCCATTGACAGTTTTTTTTTTTTTTTTCCCTTGGCTGCTTGTATATAATCCTCTGATAACATGAGAACTAGGCTTCAGTGAGGAGGCTTCCAGGTCAGTTCCAGCTCAATTGAATCAAGTCCTGTGTCCAAAGTGTGGCCTGTCTTCAGCAATAGAGTTTTACCTTCAAGTTCTGGGAAGCAATCAAGGGCTGTAGCAATAGCTTGTGTCATTTAGGAGTCTTTTGGAATACCCCAACCAACAACTGGAAGGGAGCTTTCTCCTGTCTTGCACTATGTTTTTTGTTATGCAGCCTTCATCTATGCATGTGCACACATATATTTATTATATTTTTTCCAGTTGCACTTTGAGACAATACTTTCAAATATGGCTTTTCATATCATCCAAGCATTACTAATTTTCCCTCTCACTTCCCTTGTAAACCCCTACTTATTCCCTCCCCAGTTTAAATATCTGTTCTTTCCCCCATTTTCCCTTAATAATATGTGTCTCCTACTAACCCCCTAAGTAGTGGCATTTTTATCTTCGGGGTAATCAAGAGTTGTCTAATTGAAATTAAGAGCTGCTCAGTGGCAGGGAACTCATGTGAAGTACTTTAAACATAGCCAAATATTGACATAGAATCTAGAGGAAAAAAAAACACTTTTGCCACATCCTAGACCAATGTAATTTCCTAATTTATTCTAAATATGCATCCTCATATTTATAGACAATTGATAACTTTCATTGCTCAAAAAGGAGCTTCTTTTAAAAATATTTTACTTATTTTTATATTATTTTATGTGAATGAGAGTATTGCCTACATGTATATAAGTGTACCCATGCCATGCAATGTCCATGGAGGTAAGAAGAGGGCATCAGATCCCCTGACACTGGATTTAAAGACAGTTGATAGTCACCATGTGAGTGGTGAGAGCTAAACCCAGGTCCTCTGCAAGAGCAGCCAGTGCTGTTCACTGCTGAGTCAATTCTCAAGCCCCCATATTTCAGTACTGCTTAAAAGTTCAGTAATGATCTTAGGACTTAGTATATGTAGACATTTTGTTTTGCCTTCTAGGTATTTCCCTTATATGTATTTTAAAATAAAAATTTTCAAATGGTGTCTTAAGACATCGTCTAACCTATTACCACAGATTGAAGTTACCAATAACAAATTCATATATGTTGAATATTTCCTAATTTTTAATTTTTCTTCATAGAACGATATGAGAAATGACCAATGGAAACTGGATAAAATCATACTGTGGATCAACTCTTCATCAAACAAAATATACTCATTCAAGTATTAAGGCTACCCATAGAGCTGGGATTTCTTTGGAATGAAGTCATTTACACAATTTAAAATATTCAAGTGTATTTTTGGTATAATTGAATATTTATTACATTTGGAAATAGTCCATTGGTAATTCCTGTGATAATCTTCATATATTTACTAGTCAAATAAAAATATTTAATGAGATACTGCATGTTGTCATTAAAATAATCATAATAATAGTTTGGGTATAAGAAAATCCATATTTCTTTAATCCTCTATGTGTTATTAAAATTAAAAATTACAGTTATTTATAATAAAGAAATGAAAAGTTGGGCAAAGAATGAAAATCAAACCAAACAAGCAAACAAAAATTTCTTGCATTCCTCAGTGAAACATAGCCTCTGACCCAAATGTGGAATATTTTGGTATATTTCTGATTGCAAAATCTATCTTACCTGCAGTATTTCCTAGAAAGTGTTTGTGTACCCATTTCCAATTCCACTTCTTGCTTCGATTTGACTTTGGTTTCAAAGCCTCTACATATTGGAATGACTAAGTTTCACTTGCCCATCACCTTGTGACCATCATGGCTTGTAAAGTTTCTGGCATAGCATTGATTTAATTCATACCTTGGAATGTATGATCCTAAAAGAGCCATTCCATTTCACATTTCACAGCAAGTTTCAATATCAACTTAAAAGAGAACAGGTACTGTTTAATATAATTCTCTCCCAGCAAGCAATAATCTTTTACACAAAAGTCTTTTGTCTTATATTGAACAAAAGCATGCTGAGTCAGGTTTCTGTTTATATTTAGCCTTCTGTTACTACTTTAACTTAA